AGGGAGCTCCATCATTTCCAAACAAGTGGGAAGGAGATGAAGTGCTCCTTCATGGCACTGCTGGCTCTTCTCAGAGGTCCTGCAAGGTGTAGAGAACACCCTGAGGGTCTCCCAGCACCAGTCCTGACAGGGCCCAGTGATGAAGGAGCGGGACCAGCTGAGCACCACTGCCAGGGAGAGGGCTCCTGCTGCCTCAGGGAGGCAGATTCCCCACACAAACAGTGCCTGCATTTTTTTTTCCAAGCTGCATTTGCTCCGTGCTTGGATACGAGTCATTTCCCTCTGCCAGCAGCAGTGGCTGGCCCTGGTTGCACGTTCTGACGGAACTTGGAAGGGGAGCTCTGCCAAACCTTTGCAGGGGCAGAAATTGGCCCCAGAGACTCCTCTGGGAAGGCTGAGGGGGGCTGGTCATGCTCTCCTCCCCACACGGGGTAGAGCCTGATGCGCTCGGCCCTGTGGAGGATGGGTCTGATCTCTCTGGTAAACTGAGGCAGCTGCCTCCAGCTGGGAGCCCTTCTGCCATGGATGGGAAACTGAAGCAGGCAGAAATCCTGACTTACTCCCAATTTCGGGCAAACTGAGGAGGGCCTGGGCCCGAGGAGAGGAGAGGAGAGGAGAGGAGAGGAGAGGAGAGGAGAGGAGAGGAGAGGAGAGGAGAGGAGAGGAGAGGAGAGGAGAGGAGAGGAGAGGAGAGGAGAGGAGGAGAGGAGAGGAGAGGAGAGGAGAGGAGAGGAGAGGAGAGGAGAGGAGAGGAGAGGAGAGGAGAGGAGAGGAGAGGAGAGGAGAGGAGAGGAGAGGAGAGGAGAGGAGAGGAGAGGAGAGGAGAGGAGAGGAGAGGAGAGGAGAGGAGAGGAGAGGAGAGGAGAGGAGAGGAGAGGAGAGGAGAGGAGAGGAGAGGAGAGGAGAGGAGAGGAGAGGAGAGGAGAGGAGAGGAGAGGAGAGGAGAGGAGAGGAGAGGAGAGGAGAGGAGAGGAGAGGAGAGGAGAGGAGAGGAGAGGAGAGGAGAGGAGAGGAGAGGAGAGGAGAGGAGAGGAGAGGAGAGGAGAGGAGAGGAGAGGAGAGGAGAGGAGAGGAGAGGAGAGGAGAGGAGAGGAGAGGAGAGGAGAGGAGAGGAGAGGAGAGGAGAGGAGAGGAGAGGAGAGGAGAGGAGAGGAGAGGAGAGGAGAGGAGAGGAGAGGAGAGGAGAGGAGAGGAGAGGAGAGGAGAGGAGAGGAGAGGAGAGGAGAGGAGAGGAGAGGAGAGGAGAGGAGAGGAGAGGAGAGGAGAGGAGAGGAGAGGAGAGGAGAGGAGAGGAGAGGAGAGGAGAGGAGAGGAGAGGAGAGAGGAGAGGAGAGGAGAGGAGAGGAGAGGAGAGGAGAGGAGAGGAGAGGAGAGGAGAGGAGAGGAGAGGAGAGGAGAGGAGAGGAGAGGAGAGGAGAGGAGAGGAGAGGAGCAGCCCGGAGCTCGGGATGACTCAAGGGTGATGTGAGGGGGGTGAGGCTCAGCCCAGCCTTTCGCAATGTGTTTACCAGCACCTGGGTGGCTGCTGCCTTCCAGGACACGCAGCCCATCCTCCTCAGCCCCGAACCGGCTCTCCAGGCTGAGCACAGCTGGGGAGTGACCTGTTCCCACCCCAGTCTGGCTGGCTGATGGTGGGCAGCTGGGCAGGGAGCCTCTGGCCAGCCCTGTGCCACAGCACTGCTGTTGGCATGCTGCCCTGCCCAGGGGACAGCAGTCGTGGTGTCCTCCCAGGGCAGCCAAAAACTGCCGGGTGCACCAAAACAAAGTCCCAATCCATGGGAAGGTGGTGGCACGTGGCAGCAGCTCTATCCGCATGATGTCAGCCCTGTGAGAGGCACAGAAATTCCCCTGCATTCCTCACACGGTGCTGCCTGCCATCCCAGCCACCTGGCCACCTTCTGCCAGCTGCCAGGATACGTGTCCTGTGTGGGCAGGACAGAGTCAGGGGAAAGTCCCTTTATATGGATAGTTTCAGAGCTAAACATGCTGTTTTGAGAAACTTCCCTAGACAAACGTCACGGGCAACAGATGCAAGAAGTGTTTTATTTCAATTCAGCTTCTTGTGGAGCTTGAGATGGGAAATGCTGGTCAGAAGCAGAAACACCAACATTTCCTTCCACAGGGGCTGGGAAGGAGGGTGCCAGGCCCATCCCCCTGCCCTCTGCTCTGGGTTAACTTGGTTTTACTGCCACAGCACTGCCAGGGATGGACACTCAGCACGACGGGCATCAGTGCTCCTGCTGCAGCTGGAAACAACTGCTGTGTCATGGGCAGGGGCACCTGGCACAGGAAGACCCCAGAGAAGAGCTGCTGGAGCCTTCAGTGGAGAGCCCAGGTGCTGCCAGCAGGCCCAGGCTGCTCGCTGCCACGCCGGCCACGGGGCACTGCAGAGCGCTGCCGCTGCATCCTGCTGGCACCCGGCCAGCCCGGACCCTTCGTCACGCCGAGCCTGACCTGTGTGCAGCAGTTAACCTCCAAACACCGTTCCCAGTTAACCTAGTTTGGCTCTGGGCAAGGCTGGGCCCTCTAGAGAAAAGCACGTGTGGGCTGGTCTCCTGCTGGCCTCTCTGTTGGCCCGTGTCCATGGCATGATTCACGGTGCCAGCGGCTGTGTCACTGCATTGTCCCGGCTATTTACTGCCTGCTTGCTGGGCAAGGTTCAGGCTGGCACAAACTGGTGTCCCCAGCCTGGCAGGAGCTGTGGCTGGCTCAAGGTGGGCAGCTGAGCTGGCCCTTCCAGCAGCACCATGCTGTGGGCAGGGATGGTGAGAGGCAGCTGTGCCGTGCCCTGGCCTGGCGTGGCAGCCTGGGGAGGGCTCAGCGTGCTCAGGCTCAGCCGTGCCCAGGGTTCAGCCATCCTCGCTGCCCTCCAGGCTCCTGCCAGGCACTTGCTCCACCCTGACAGTGCCCCAGCATTCACCCCGGCTGCTTTCCTGCCCCAGCTCCACGGCAGGAACATCAGAGAGGGCAGGGCCCACGCATGAAATAGAAATGTCTTCACCCACCCCATGCCAGGAATATCTGCCCGCAGGCCACGTGCACTCACGGGCAAGGCACGTTTAACCTCAGTTCCCTCTCCCCAAATGTGGATTCAGCCCAGCCCCTTCCTCTCTCGGGCTGACCTGCAGCAGTGCCTGGCAGGTGTCAGACTGCTGTCCCCATTCCCGGGGTCAGAGGGTATCCAGGGAAGTGGGGAAAGTGCAGCACAGCACATGCAGGAGCCACCTGTGCAGTAAATCAGGGACAAAGTGACAGCTCCTCGTGTGCCTGCAGCCTGCAGCCTCTCCCCCTGGCTGGGGGCAGGAACGGGGAGTGCAGGGGCAGTGCTGGGGCTGGGCTGCCCAGGTGTGCTCCATGTGTACCCCAGGTGTGCCCAGGTGTGCCCCAGGTGTGCCCAGATGTGCCCAGGTGTGCCAGGTGTACCCCAGGTGTGCCCAGGTGTGCCCAGGTGTATCCCAGGTGTACCCAGATGTGCCCAGGTGTGCCCAGGTGTACCCCAGGTGTGTCCAGGTGTGCCCAGGTGTACCCCAGGTGCCCCCACATGTACCCCAGGTGTATCCCAGGTGTGCCCAGGTGTACCCCAGGTGTATCCCAGGTGTGCCCAGGTGTGCCCCAGGTGTGCCCAGGTGTATCCCAGGTGTATCTCAGGTGTGCCCAGGTGTGCCCAGGTGTACCCCAGCTGTACCCCAGCTGTACCCAGGTGTGCCCAGGTGTACCCCAGGTGTGCACAGGTGTATCCCAGGTGTGCACAGGTGTATCCCAGGTGTGCCCAGGTGTGCCCAGGTGTATCTCAGGTGTATCCCAGGTGTGCACAGGTGTATCCCAGGTGTGCCCAGGTGTGCCCAGGTGTGCCCAGGTGTATCTCAGGTGTATCCCAGGTGTGCCCAGGTGTGCCCAGGTGTGCCCCAGGTGTACCCCAGGTGTACCCCAGCTGTGCCAGGTGTACCCCAGGTGTACCCCAGGTGTACCCCAGGTGTGCCCCAGGTGTGCCCAGGTGTGCCCAGGTGTACCCAGGTGTATCCCAGGTGTGCCCAGGTGTGCCCCCCGGCCGCAGCTCTGGTGACGTCATGGCTGGTGCGGCGCGGGAAATCCTGACCCCGAGTAACCCCGCGCGCCGCCGCTCCTGATTGGCTGCAGTTCTGATCAGGGTGGCTCACACGGCCAATCAGAACACAGCTACCGCTCCCGCACCTGCGGCAGGGATAGCAGGCCTCTGATTGGCTGCCGGGCCTCTCCTGAGGGTTTATTGGCGGTTGCCTGGCGCTGATTGGCTGCGTGGGCCGGTGCTGGAAGCTCATTGGTTCCTCGCTGGGCGGTGCAATGGCGGCTGGGCCCGCCCCTGGCGCTGGGGGCTGTGAGGGAGGAGAGCGGCCCAACTGCAGCCCCGTCCCTGTCCTTTCCCCTGCCACAGCCTCTGTCCCTGTCCCAGCCCCTGTGCTGCCCCAGCCCTGCCCCAGCTGCAGCCCCGTCCCTGTCCCTTCTCCTGCCTCAGCCCCTGTCCCAGCCCCAGCTGCAGCCCCGTCCCTGTCCCTTCCCCTGCCCCAGCTGCAGTCCCTGTGCTGCTCCAGACCTGCTCCAGCCCCTGTCCCTATCCCTGTCCCACTCCCAGCCCCTGTCCTACTCCTTGGCCCTGTCCCAGCCCCTGTCCTACTCCTTGGCCCTGTCCCAGTCCTTGCCATAGCCCCTGTGCCACTCCCAGCTACTGTCCCAGCCCTTGTCCCTGTCCCAGCCCCTGCACTATCCCTGTCCCAGCCCCTGTCTCAGCCCCTGTCCCAGTCCTTAGCCCTGTCCCTGCCCCAGTCTGTCCTAGCCCCATCCCCTGCCCCAGCCCCTGCAATGTCCCAGTTCTGGTCCCAGCCCCATCCCCTGTCCCAGTCCCAGCCCCTGTCCCTGCCCAAGCCTCTTCCCTGTCCCTGTCCCAGCCCCTGTCCCTGTCCCAGCCCCTGTCCCTGTCCCAGCCCCTGTCCCTGTCCCAGCCCCTGCACGGTCCCAGCCCCTGTCCCTGCCCCAATCCCAGCCCCAGCCCTGGTCCTGTTTCCTGCAGGGTCTCCTGTGGGGCAGAGCCTTCCCTCGGCCCATCCAGCAGTGCAGGCTCTGTCGGAGCCCAGCCCTGCCTCCTGTCCCACCTTCAGGAGGCAGAACATCCCCTGCGCCCTTCTGTGATCCGTGTTTGCTGGCAGTGGCCACTGGTGGCCAGCAAGGGCCTGGGCCAGGACTTAGGAGTCAGTTCCCAGTCGTTCTTGCTCCAGTCTGTGCTCTTGGAACAAGCCCCAGAGCCTGAGAAAACAAAATTTACAGGTGGGAAATGATTCCTGGCTGCAGTCTGAGAGCTTTGAACAGTACCTGGGGTTCCTTGGAATAGCAGAAGGGAGGGACTCAGTGATAAATGAATATCATTCGTGCTAACAATTCTAACTATATCAATCTTTTAGAAATTATTTGTTAAAAAGTAATAGAGGAAAAGGCTATGTAATTAGTGTCATGAAACAGATGTTCTCAGATGTTCATGACAGAACAGGCTACGGGCTGTAGTTTGAGGTAAGTAAAATCCCAAAATGGAATAGGCCTCGGGATAATTAAAGAATCGGCCTTGAAACGGACAAAATTGGGATGATTCCAGGTATCTATGGAATGATAAAGTTTATTTTTGGATTATAATGTTGGCTTCTATAACACAAGGCCTGGGGTGCATGTGCAGCCTGCAGGGTTGTTCAAAGGACAGTGAGGATGAGGAGAAGCCTTCCTCTGAAAAGACCCCCAGAAGGAAAAAGACCCCTCAGCAGCAAGCGGAGCATGTGCTATGGAGGATAGTGACGTAGATTTTGAGAATTGAAAATTGGGGGAGATTTATGGGAACTATTGATGAGTATGAATCAGCAAACAGTATAGAAGTTGTGTTTGGATTCTTTGGTACATGAGGCAGGGTGGGAAGCCCTCCCCTACCCCAATCGATTGGTTTTGCTTATGCTTCATCCAAACCGCTGCCAAATTTCCTTTTGTATCTGCTTGATTATATTTGATTATATTCAATTAAAATTGCTGCTGAATTCTAATTTTGTTAATAATTAAATTAGACCTATAGGGATCTCTTTCATAACAGACTCCATCCGAGCAGCAGGTCCTGGAGCTGGCACCTGGGCAGGCAGAGGGGAGATGGGTGTGAGGCACCACCCTTGGGCCTGAATCTCCTTGGTGCCACCAGAGCAGCCCTTTCGTGCTCCGTCACACACACAGGGGGTCCTGAGGAGCTCTGTCTGAGGCACCAACCTCACTGCTGACCCTGTGGCACCCTAAGGACTCCAGAGAGGATTCCCTCGGTCTCTGGGGAATGCCACAGTCACTCTGACACAAGCACAGCTCACTGCTAGGCCCCATGGCTTGGATCCTGCTGGGCAGCAACCCCACCTGTGAGCTCCCAAACCTGGGCTGGAGACATTTCTCCTCGTGAAGATCCTGACATTTTTCTCTCCATTCGTGTAAACGAATGTGTTCTGAAATGTTCCTCTCTTGGCATCCTCGTATGAGGGACCTCCTTGGATGACTCCAGTGTGCAGCAAGGGCACAGCCTGGGAAGCCCCTGAGTGCCTCAGCGGGGACAGCAGTGCGAGGGACTCATCTCACTTCTCCTTGCAGCTCATTTTCATGAGTGGTCCTGTTGTTCTCCGTTGTTTGTTGACTTCAACCTCTTGGGCAGGCAACCACCTTTTGTCTACTCACAAAAACACTTGGATGTTAGTTGTTATACCTTTAACAAGCTGTTCCCCACAAAACCAGTTGGCTTGCCTGGCCATGGTTTCACATTTCACTTGCCCAGGTTTCCCCTCCTTGCTGTTTGGACACGGTTATGGCTTATTCAAAGATATCACTTGACTTCAGCTCGCTCTCCACAAACTGTAACTCTGCCACAGCCTCTGTGAGCAGGCACACATGTTCCCTTCCTGCCTCCAGGGTCACATTTACACAACAGCCAGCACGCTATAAAGGCAAGAGACAAAGCTGCTAGGGAATAGCCAAAGGAGGCCTGAGAGGGTGCTGGAAGGGCTGGAGGGGCTGAGGGCACTCTCAGGGACAGGGTTGCATTGTTGGGGTGTCCTCTGCAGGGCCAGGGGTTGCACTCAAAAGCCACTTCCAGCTCAGGAACTCTTCTGGTTGCTAATTTTAAAATCTTAATTTCTTAATTTTAATTTCTTAATTTCCTTCTTTTTTTTTTATTTTCTTAATTTTCATCATGTCCCTCTTTTTGCACATAACTGTTGCTGCTGGGTTTCCTGTCCTAGAGATCTTTGTGGTCATCAGAAGAACATTTTGGCCTGGGTTTGTTGTCCTGCAGGTAAAGTCGAGTTAACGTACTCTGAGTCTGGGATGAAGGAAGTGTCTGTGACTAGCTGGGTTTGGAAGCACCAGAATGAAATCTAAAGAGGAAAATTACGAGTGTGGCTTGCACACAGGGCACAGTCAAGACCAGGAAGATGCTGAGCAATCTGTTGTTTGCATCAGCCCAGATGGCCGGACTTTGATTTGGGCTGGGTGTGGGCAACACCAGCAGGAGAGCTGTGCTTTGATAGTGGCAGGATGGCCACAAGATACAAACACGTCCCTCACATCCCCTCCTCCCCTGACACTATGACAGCAAGGAAAGCCAGGCAGGGGCAATAATCCAGCCTGGGAGGTGGGACAGACACTTGGGACAATGGTCAGTCCCTACAGGGTGTAAAAAGAGCTGTTGGCACCGTTTGCTGTAGGCAGTAAAGAGGAACCTCTGAGCCACAGAAAGGACCCAGCTACCACCATCCTCATCCTCACCCCGGTGCTGCACCTGGGCAGCCCCTGAGCAGGTGAGTGTGAGGCTGAGTGACACTGGAGATGCTCAGTGGCAGTGACTGAGGCTAATGCTGGTTCTTGTCTTCTTTCCTGCCTGGGTCAGAGTCGGGATTGAAAGCCCTTGAGACGGTATTTTGTGTTGGGACTCAGATGTTTATTAGTTCTCATCTATGTCACAGTCTTACAAGCCCTGAGTTCTACAGCACTTCACTCTAACAAACTGAAAATGGAGCCCTGTCTCTCTCTACCAGGCCTTTTAAGGATAAACTGTCTGATTAAGAAATGACACCTAAATTATTTTTAATTTTAACCCAATATCAACCACCTGTGCCCACAATGGGGACTTTTTTATCCAATTACACAAAACCACCCAAACCCATGGAGAAGAAGGTGAAGAAGGACCAGACACCACCCTAAAACCTCCATTTTGCTTTATAGATATTACTGTATTCTAAAGCTTTAAACTCTGAGTTTCCCACCCTGTGATGTTACACACTTCTATTCAAACTCCACACCCACAATCCCAGTTCTGTCATTCCATTTTGGAAGCTTCTCCACAGCCTCAGGTCAGTGCAGTGTTCTCTTGGGGATCAGTGCCTGCCAGCACAGAAAGTTTAAAATTCTCCGCAGCCAGGGTTCCAACATTAGGCAGTTTATTTTAATTCAAATCCTCTTCTCCAAGGAATTTACACATATAATGTGCCTGACCCAGAGGAAGCACAACCCCCAGCGTGCTCCCTGCTGGTACAGCCTTGGAGGGATTTCCTGGCCAGTTTTGGGGGGCTGAGGTGCCAGTGGTGTCTGTGTGCATTCAGCCTCTGGCACACACCCGTGCCTTGGCTGGGGCTGTTCCTGGGCCTGCAATCCCTGTGCCCAGTGCAGCTGTGTGCTGAGGAGCTGCTGATGTGCTGGCCAGGCTGGCAGTGCTGCTTCCTGCAGCTGCTCAGAGCACATTCTTGGAGAGTAAGGTTGGATTCCACAAGGCAGAGCCCCTGTGAAATCCTAGAGAGCTGCAGAGAGCTGCCAGAGCAGCTGTGAGCTGGGGGTGCTGTGCAGAGGGTGATGGTTGGTGCTGTGCCCTCCTCCAACCCACCCAGTCCGTGGAGGTCCATGGAGAGGGGCTCTCCTGAAGGCTGCCAGAACCACGGTGCCGTGGTTCCCCTCTGGCAGGCAGCATTGCTTCTGTTCCCCAGGGCTGGGGAGGGCTCTGCTTAGTGTGACACCAACACTGCAGGAGGAGGATAACGCTTGAGAGAGGATCTGTGCTGGAGATCAGCCTGGCCCTGCTGAAACCTGCAGATCCATGCCTCTGGCAGGGTGGCAGGGTGGTAGAAACACTGCAACCTTCCTCAAAATGTCTCCATCAGAAGGCACTCGGAGTAAGGCCACAAGAACAGCCATTTCGAGTCCATGCACACACACCCACCACAGATAGATCAGCAGAGGAAAGGCAGGAAGGGTCTTTGTGGGATGTATTCCAGCAAAGATTCATTGCATCCACCATGCCAAAGGGATCAGGGACAAAGACGTGACCGTGTGCTGTGCACAGGCAAGTGTGGGGTCAGTGTCCAATGACCTGAGGGCACAGGGGCAGGACAGAGGGCAGCAACCTGTAGGGAGGATGAGGGATGAACATTTGGGGTGGGCAGGGTCAGCTGGCCAATGGGGGAAGCAATCTAATGTAGATTGGCAATAGTGCTGCAGAGCACCATGGGCTGAGTCCTCTCTTTCAGCCTTAGTGGGGAATAGACCTTTCCAGGGCAAAGTTGGGAGGTTCCCAAGGGGTTTTTCATGTTCCCTCACATGGCTGGACAGGCTTCACCCAGGAGAAGATCCCTGTGGTGTCATCCCAGTGCAGGGCACTAAGGCTGCCCAGGAAAGGGCTACTCAGGGGACACCACTACCCCAGCAGAGGTGGGGCTCCCAGCAAGGTGCAGGTGTGGCCGTGTCACCTGCAGGTAAAGACATCACCCCCAGACTGGGAGATCCCCTGCATCCCCTGGGTCATGTTGTTGTCCTTTTGTTGTCCTTCCCTGCCACCCCATCCCGGCTGCATTCCTGCAGCCTGACTCAGGGTTTGCAGATACTGCCCACGCCTGCCCGGCCACACGGGAGGGTCAGCCCCTCCTCCTGCCTGAGCAGGTTGGCAGAACTCGGTCAGTCAAGGTCACAAAGGTGTTTGGAATCAGGGAAAGGGGGAGGGAGGAGTCTGGGTACCATCATGGAAGACCTGGAGCTACAGTAGATGGGTTTTGCAGGGCTCCTTGCTCCTGTGAGAGGAAACCTCTGCAGTGACCCATCAGCACGATTTTTCAGGATATCCCAGGCTCAGCACCCCTCCAAAGCAGACTCCAAGGAAACCACAGCAGCACTGAGTGACTGGCACCCAGCACTTAATGTTCCTTGTCACTCCTCCATCACTCAGTGGGATTAGAAGGGTCCTTCCATCTTCCAGGCTGAGGTTAGGAAACTTCAGCATCTGCAAATACTGGTCAAGAAGAAAAGTGAGCAAACAGTGACAGGAAAACAGTCATTTCAGCAAATTGTTCCATTTCAGCAAAGCTCAGAGGAGGAGATGCCTGAAGATGGGTCCCCAGGTTGAACATGGGTGAGGGACCAGAGGTGTCTCTGCCAGTGGCACAGGAGATGAGAAAGACACTCTAGGCCATGTTGGAGAGCAGAAATTGCAGACCTTTCCCCAGGTTCCAGGACTGTTTGTGTCTGACAGTCTGCCTACAAGCAGGTATTGTCCCCAGTGAACTGGTGACCTCCTTACTGGAGCCATGGCACTGATCAAATCAGGCTGGTGAAGGTCAGAGCAGAAGTGCGGGAGGAGCAACAACTTCCTTCCAAGCACACACCAGAACTCAGGGCCAGACCTTGATGTCAGGGGATTTCTATTTTAAGTGGAACTGACTCAGACTCTCACACTTCTGGTCTCTGTCATCCTCAGGGCCGCCCCCACCCTGAGGTGTTTGCACAAGGGGCATGGCTGGGCCTTCAGGCTGAGACACAGGACAGGGCTGCCACGTCAAGTCTCCTCTGCATGGGGAGCTCTCAACTGGCAGCAACAAAAACAGTTTTGGGGAAGGTTTTGGATGCATCAGCAATTATTATTGCAGGATCTTTCCCCTCCAAACACTGCTCTCTTCACCTTCCACAGGACTCAGGCAGAGCTACTGCCTTGTAGCTGTTCATTTTCATTGTGGGTGCCTTTTCTGCTGGT